CTACTAGGAGCAAGAACGCTACTAGGGGCTCCTGGCCTTACTACTAGAAGCAAGAACGCTACTAGGGGCTCCTGGCCTTACTACTAGGAACAAGAAGCTACTAGGAGCAAAGGGCATCGCTACTAGGAGCAAAGGACGCTACTAGGGGCTCCAGGGGCTGTTTCAAGCAACAAAACCGAACTGAACATGCTCCCCACATCCCGCTGTCGCCAATTCCAAACGAACGGATCCAACAGGACGCCGCCCAACAGCCTCGTTGGGGGCCAAAAGCCGCTGATCCAAAGCGCCCAACGCCTGGAGTGCAGTTGCAGTCACGGAACCACCGGCAATCCGCCTCCACGAGCAAATGGGAACCTAAGTAGCTTCTTGTTCCTATTAGCTTCATACTCCTAGTAGTAAGGCCAGGAGCCCCTAGTAGCTTCTTGTTCCTGTTCTGGCAACCTGAGACGAAGGAAGAGCGAATGAAGCAGCGAAAACAGGACTTGATCCCACACAAGAAAAAGGAAACACACACAAGTTTGCAAGAACCACCCGGGCCCTTGGAAGAGCGAATCAACGAGTCACATAATTGAATGCGAGCATCAACGCACAAGTAAGTGACCATGTGGGATGAGAGAGGCTTGAACAAACCGACGCCACCCAGCTTGACAAAAGGCTGATGAGGTGAGGATAAGAAGTAAATTGACCCTGACCAAACCTTCACAACCTGACGGAACCTGACTTTGAAGGAGGTGAAAGTGAAGCGTCACATCCGGAGTTCTGTTCTTCTCTGGTGTTCCCAGGGTTGGACCCAACAAAATCAAACACACGTGCCCAGACCAAAACACTGTTCGGGTGTTCCGGAACGAACTCAATTGCCACAAATAGTCCGTATGCACGCTGCTCGTTCACGAGCACTCTGATGGTGAGGGAAGATATGAGGAGCAACCAAACTGGAAAGATCATCTTTAAGGGCCCGGTGACACCAAACATCATCGAAGTCTCTCACCTGCACTTTCCGAGAAAGAACACATGCGCCAGCAGGATCAGCTTCGAGAACATCAGGAGGACAAATTCAACGGTTTGCAGACCGCTGACTCAAAGTAGCAATGATATGGATCGTTTGTTTTCACTTCTCGTTTCATCCGTTTCTGAAAAGAAGAGAAAGCACCAGTGGCAGCCAGAGCTTCAGGTCAGTCGTTTGGAGATCTGTAACCCCCCGTTTGGAGAAGGCACTGTCTGCGTTCCACGACAAGAGACATTTCGCGACTTCAGCGGGGACACTCCGGGCACTGAGCCGACGACAAGTACGTAAATCGAGCATACGCATCAGGAAACCAACACAGAAACAGTTTCAAAGTTGTTGATCCTTTCCCCTTAAAAACACACGACGTGATTCACAGGGACAGTCTTATGAAAACGTTTACACCTTGAACTAGATTTATATAAGCGCAGCTTCATTCAGGGTGTAAACTTCTCTGTAATTCTATTGCGCAGGACATGCCGTCTGGTGAACCAAAGAACGTGAGTCCAAATTTGCCTCGTGAAACATGACGCAAACGAAGTTTATGGCAACACTACGCCTCCGAATTTGTAAGGAACAAGAAGCTATTAGGAGCAAAGGGCATCGCTACTAGGAGCAAGAACGCTAGTAGGAACAAGAAGCTACTAGGAACAAGTGCATCGCTTCTAGTAACATAGTAACAAGAAGCTACTAGTAACAGGTGCATCGCTACTAGGAACAAGAACGCTATTAGCTTATTGTTTCTACTAGCTTCTTGTTACTACTAGTAAGGCACTTGTTACTACTAGCGATGCACTTGTTACTACTAGGAACAAGAAGCTTGTTTCCACATTTGCTGTAAGATTCTCCCCCAAATCGCACTCAAGGATGCTGGACCCATCTGGACCGCATCGAGAGATGGCAACAAATGCCTTTCAATGCATGCCTTTACAATCGTAGGTCGTGTCAGTCTACTACTTCTCTTTTTGTTGATCCTTCTTGCATCTACCTTCTATAATCATGTAAAACACATGTATACCGTCAAGTTTCTCATGTAAACTATGATTAAACATGATCAAGTTTCCCTAAAAGTCTAGGGAACCAAATCATTAGTGCGAGCGCTTCTTCAAGGAAGCTCCCGGTGGGTATATAGCTAGTAGCTATAGCTACTCTCTCAGCGTACCCCGTACCCCCCCCCCGCAAGGGCCAATAAAGAAGAAGTTCACTCTCCGCCTGGATCACCCGGTGCAGTCGTCTTCCTCCCGGGCCTCAGGAGACGAGAGACGAGAGACGGGAGAGGCACCTCGCGTGTTTGATGGGGGCACTGTTCACGGCCACGGCGCAAAAAGGGCGTGGTGTTTCTAGTAGCGTCCGATCCTTCCTAGTAAGGCCAGGAGCCCCTAGTAGCTTCTTGTTACTACTAGTAAGGCACTTGTTACTAGAAGCGATGCACTTGTTACTAGTAGCGAACCTTGTTACTCTTTCTTTCTTCTCATTTGTTTTGTTTCGTGGACTTTGTTCTTCTTTTCCACGTCTCCACGAGGGGAAATGCCGAAAACAGTGGCAGCTGTGTTCCACGGTTGTGTCCGGCGAAAGATCATCCTTCGAAAAGAATCGTTTTGAGACGCCACTGGTACCAGTGGGTAGCAGTGGGTAGCAGGTTGCTTCTCCTCCCAAAAGGGGCATCACACATTTTGACCGTCCAGTTCTGCGAACTCTTCCGCTGTCTTTGAGGCCCCCCCAAAAGAACGATCTCAGAGTGACATGCAAAAAGTGAACGAACAACATCTTGACGAGATTCGCTTAATATATATGCATATATATATATGTCAAAGTCTTTCTGCTTTTGAGAAATATCACACATGTAAGTATGCACCACTTGATGACATGTTGATGTTCGTCACTTTTCCTTCTCTGAGGCCGGGGGACGTTGCAGGAGAGACTCCTTCAAGTGCCTGGCCATGCAAATTGTATCACAAGAACTGCTGGACTGATGGGTGTGGGCAAGAACTGGTCAACGTTGCCAAAGGTTGAGCGATGCAGAAAACACTTTCATTCACCCTCCATTCCCCATGGGGCTTGGATGTGTGAAGTTTCCCTAAACCTCTCGGAACCAAATCATTAGTGCGAGCATGAGCTATCCTCCGTCCATATGTACTAGCTTCCTATTGCTAGTAGCAAACTAGTTTCTCCCTTACCTAATTAAGTAGGTGTCTACTTCATTAAGTAGGAGGGGACAAAAGAAACGCGGGGGCCCATGGCCGTCGTGCCTGCAAAAGGACTTGGATGTGAAGCCATGGACAACATGTCTTGTTTTTCGCGCATCTCTCTCTCTCTCTCTTTCTTTTTTCTTTTGGGCCCGAGTCAAGTCTTTGGACAGCACCGCATGTGTGGACGCCGTCTTTGGGACACTGTCACGAATTGCTCACATGCAAAGCGGTCGAAGGAGATCGAAGGCACTTCCTTGATGCTTTAAAAAATGCTACTAGTAGCTTTTTGTTCCCAGTAGTAAGACCAGGAGCCCCTAGTAGCATCCTTGCTCCTAGTAGCGATGCCCTTTGTTCCTAGTAGCTTCTTGTTCCTAGTAGAGATGGCCTCCAACCTAATAGCGATGGCCTCCACCTAGTAGCTTCCTTTGGACCAAGAGTCGTTGAACATTTCGTGAACATTTGACACTGTTGGACACTGCAAAAGTCAGCACCTTTAACATGTGCACCAAGAGTCGGCTGATCTTTTTGGTTGCAGGCCATTGCTAGTAGGTTGCTTTAAAATCCTTTTGGAGCGGCTCTACTGACTGGGCAGCTTGCTTGCTTCGCTCAGGAACCTGGGGCCACTTCGACCGCTACCGCCGCATAGACCGCTGGCATCCTCTCAGCTGCGACAAATGGGCTGTCGGTCAGCGTGTGTGGCTCCTCCGACATCAGCGAGTGTCGTCACCGGGGACCAGTTGGACGTGCTCCCAAATCCGAAATTCAGAAGCTACTAGTAACAAGTGCCACGCTACTAGAAACAAGTGCCTTACTAGTAGTAACAATAAGAATTTAATTAGAATTGTAATTAATAGCTTCTTGTTACTACTAGTAAGGCACTTGTAATTACTAGCAAAGGAATCTACTAGGACCTTTTCGCGCGCGCGCGCGCGCGGGGGGGGGGGTAGGAAGCTACTAGTAACAAGTGCCTTACTAGTAGTAACAAGAAGCTACTAGGGGCTTCTACTAGGGGCTCCTGGGAATGATCGGACGCTACTAGGTTGGAGGCCATTGCGTCCTCTTCTCTTCGTCGTCTTTTCATGGGGAACTGAAGTTCCCCCTAAGCTTCTAGGAACAGTAGGGTAGTAGCATAGCTACTAGCTACTTAGCTACCTAGCTACCTACCTCTTCTCGGCCTACCTACCTCTCCCCCCGCTTCTCGGGCTTTATTGTTAAAGAGCGACTTCGTCCACTTCGTCCTGTGGGATGCGGATTGAAGTAGATGTCTTGATCCGGTATTCGGAACTGACAGCCTGTGCAGTTCGGTGCCAGAAAGGGCACAAGAGAGGGGAGAGGGGCGGTCGGCCAGGACCAGTGAAGTCGCTAAGTTCTGCATGAAACAATGGATGAGGTGATGATGTTCTCTATCTCTTTCTTCTCTTTCTTTCTCTGTGTCTCGCGGGATTTCAGGAAGTTCGAACATGGAGCATCACAGCTGATCCCACGAGAATCTTACAGCTTGGCCCTCAAGAACTCTTAGGCTGTGAAGATCGAGCTCCACTCCCAACTGACCGGATGCAAAGAGCCGAGCCCAGCGGAGCCCAGAGCGGTCTCCGGTTCGCTTCGGAACGTCCGCACCTTTGGGATCCATCTCTGCGGGGTTCTGCTCCTGGCATCGGCTTCTCGGATCGGCAGGTTCTTTTGGGATCCCGAAAGCGATGTGGAAGCAGCCTCTAATCTGTCATGTTCGAAAAAGGTCGAGGGTCTAGTCTCTCATGTCCTGATTAGTGACGTACTCGTCACCAAGTCAATGCTCATCAAGACCAGGCTTTGTTGATAGAGGTTCACTAGTGGAATGGAATGAACATCAGAAGTTGAAGAACCCTTATACTGAGACAGGTTTTGTGATTCGTAAAAACCGCTTTTGAAGGAAGTCCTGCACCCAAGCAACTCGGGGGCCAACCGCACCGAAATCAAGACATGTCAAGGGCAAAAGCGGGAGCTGAAATCGCGCAAGTCCCCATCAGGACCTACGGTGAACGGTATGTCCATCATCTGCACCATTCCCGTCTTCTCCGACTCTTCTCCATTCTCCCGCCACCCTAGTAGCTTCTTGTTACTAGTAATGGCCTCCAACCTAATAGCCATGGCCTCCACCCTAGCTTCTTCTGTTGCTTTCTCCCATCGAGCGACTCCCAGGTACATCTTCCCCAGCTTCTTGGCCGCGACGCCGCACTCGTCCTCGGCGTCACGCGGGGGGTTCGAAGAATCTCGCCGAAGGACTCACCGAGTGGTGCGACTGACTCAATCCGGTTGCCCTTCGAACGGATGGACCACTTCAAATCCCAGCCGTACTGGAGAGGCTTTCCTCATTCCAACGGTAGACATGGACGAAAGTCGCTTCTGACATTTCTTCTTTGGTGGTGTTTGGAGGTCTGGCTCAAAGCCCAGCTCCCTCTCTCTCTCTCAATCAAGAATCGTGGCTTGTCCAACGATCAACTTGGAATCCAACAAATCGCGTGTCTCCCTCGCTCCGCCCACCCGCCACGTCGAACATTCCCGGTCGTTGGCCGGAAGAATTGAGCCTTCGGATCCGTTGGAGATCCGTGCTTCTCGTGACTGGGTGATCTCCCAACATCAACTCCGCACTTTTTGAGGTCTCGGAAGATCTAGTGTTACTCCGTTACTTGCTTCTTGTTCCTAGTAGAGATGGCCTCCAAGCTACTTGCGATGGCCTCCACCGAGCATAGCGTCCTTGCTACTAGACATAGTGCTTCCCTCCAATGGTTTCCCGCAATGTCCAATGTGGATTGCAACCCGCCCTCGTTCGTCTGTCCCAGGCGCTGCAGATTCGACGGGCTGACCACCTGCAGGGCAGTCCGTGGTCTCTGGCTCGCCCAGGACGTACCTCGACGGTGGGAACGAATGGAAGCTCTAGAGCTTCAGTGGACTGTTTGGGTTAAGCTCATGTTGGACAAATAGCTTGGAGGCCATCGCTCTTAGGTTCCTTTTGCTAATAGGTTGCAGACCATCGCTACTAGGGTTCGAGGCCATCCAGTCAAAGCCGCATTGTATGAGCCGAAATGATGTCCTGGCCCTGGGGTTGTGGGTGATTGGCATTGCAATTGATTGGCATGTGGGTAGACTTCGGACTTCTGGTAGGCTTCCAAACACCTCAGACCTTCTCTCTCCGCCCCTTGTCCACCGCGTGACTCATGGTTGAACTCCAGTGCCGGCTTCGCAGTGGGCCGCTGTGCCGCTGCCTGTGGATCCTGGTTGCTGTGCGGACGCGTACAGCGACTTCTCTTCGACTTCTCTTCGACGCTTCTCCGTTTTTCAAGAGCCCGCGATGGCCTCCAACCCAATAGCTTGTCCCTTTCTTTCGATTTCTCTGTCTTGTGTTCGTTGGATTTCAGATCTGGAGATGCTGCGGGCACTATACTCGTCTCACGAAAACTGTCCTCCTTGCAAATGGGCTGTCGTGCTGGATTGGGGGCGCCACGGTCATGGCTGTTGAAATAGACGTCCTCGGATGATTTGCGAGACAGAAAAACGACAAAAGGCAGAACCCCAGGAGCAAAATTGGTCAACAACCAAGCATATTGTAAGGTTGGAGGCCATCGCTAGTAGGTTGGAGGCCATCGCTCTTAGGTTTGAGGCCATCGCTCTTAGGTTCCTTAAAGTCTTTTTCTTAAATGTAGTTACAGGTAAACGACCGAGAACTACCAACAAGTCGCACCTGGTTTTCCTTGAGCCAAACGGTAGGTAAGTGAGACATGTATTCGACATCCTAGCGTGAAACAACACCCCCCGCTGAACGAAAATGGGAGGAGTGAAGTTATGTACAGTGCACTAATTAAGGACCTACGAAGGTATCCGGTCCCCCGGTACGTGCGAAGCATCGAACCGGAACGTGCCTTGAGATGGAGAGGATGGTTGACCTCAAGGACGGATCACATAATGCACTGTCATTCTTTGATGCTAGTGTTGAACATGTCTCAACTGATTCATGCATGAAAGTTCAAAGCAAGCTCACAAAGATAATCTCTTTTGCGCAGCGGAACTGGGAGTGCAATGCCAACCTTTTAGAAAGCAGGAACAAAGCCATCAAGGCACACGCTCCCGCGTGGCGACAAAACACAGTAAAAGATGTGCGCTCTTCATTGCATGGATTGAGAGCCAAGTTCATCGACCTGAACTCAAACGAATTAGCTGCTGGTTTCAGGCATCCGGTCCCCCGGTGCATCACAGAAACGGTCATCCAGGCAACCGCTCCCGCGGTGCGTTGAGGGAAAAACACAGTGCACAAAGATAGCCGAGTCACCCGTAGATTTCATTCTCTTCTCCACAGGCAACAGCTCCCGCTGTGCGTCGTGTTCACCACCTGCGCTGACTCCACCAGTCATGTCCTCGCCAGTCACTGCCACGACCGCGATCATCTTGCCACCAGTTGCGGTTGGATGAGGACCACCAGGAAGACGATGAGGATGACTGCTGCCAATCATGGTATTGATCACTTCCGGCAGCTCCTCGCCAGCGATGCTCTGATGTCTCGGCTTGAGTACGTGTTGCTCTGGTGCGGCCTTGGCCTTGGGAATCACAAGTGCCCTTGTTTCTTTCACAAGGTTGATATCCAAGCCAGGTACAAATTGAGCATCGCCCATCACGAATTCCAGGAGTTCATCCAATACGTCATCAGGGTCTGTCTTCTCACTTCGCCACTCACCTCCAAATCCCAAGATTGCGGGTCGTTTTGTACCTTGACAATAGTCCGCAGCGAAAGTCTCAGGTCGGTGCAGCCTGTTCTTCCAATAAATGAAGAAGTCCTCGCTCAGGTCAGCATCATTCCCTTTTGCTGGTTCGTTCATGAAGATGACTTTTCCAGCGTATCGATGACCGACGCCTCGAGCAATCATTTCCCTTGTCCTCGGAGGGTCAGGGATGACGGCATCTGATAGGCGTTCCAGGAATTGAATGCAGATTGGAGAGAGGTCCTGGGCCGCACAGTTGAACGCGTAGAAAGCGTCAGTCAGCTGTCGCTGCGATACTGTCATGGACATTTTCTCCGCCTTCTGGACATGGCTTTTGGCGTTCGCTTTCAAGATGTTGATGCCCGAACGAGAAGCACGTTGAACTTCATGGCCAGGCGTCCCCGCCGGCGTCCTCCTCACACCTGTTCCTTGCAGCCTGTCCTCAGGTACCATGTCCATCGTGACTTCGATACCGAGATCGGATGCAATTTCTTCGATCCGAATGAGCTGGGCAGCTTTACACAGATCCGAGGCATTGTTGAGGAAGGTGCCGCATGTGATGCAGGACATCATGCCATGGGTGTAGGTATGTGTGCATGTCGGGCACTGATCTTCTGGCATCTGAACGCCCTCAACGACCATCCATCGAGTGTTGCCATAACCCTCAGTCTCGGGGTGGATCTTGCGCCAATCAAACCGAGGTCGGTTGTAGTTGGGCAGCATCTCTTTGGGCGACACTTGGTTCCTATAGGCGTTGAAATTGGGCCTGCGAACGACATACGTGACCTCGTATGTTTCTAAATCAGGATTCTGCTTTCCTGATACCATTTGGTCTTTCACGCCTGGGCGTTCAAACAGTTCACCGTACACGAATGGGGAAAAGGTGTCCACCTTACCACACCATCTCTCATAGTCACCAAGGACCTGGTAGGTGTACTTTTCCAGTGGGCTTTTCACCATTTCATCGTCATCGGCAACTGG